ACAGCTGCGGGCCAGGCTCGGTGGCTCATGCCTGTAATCCCAGCACCTTGGGAGGCCAAAGCCAGAAGGATCACTTGAGGCCAGGAGTTCAAGACCAGCCTAGACAACACAGTGAGACCGCGTCTCTACAAAAAAATAAAAAAATTAGTCAGGTGCGGTGACACATGCTGCAGCAGGTTTGGCCTGAGCCCAGGAGGTCGGGCTTCAGTGAGCTGTGACTGTGCCATTGCACTCCAGCCTGGGTAACAGTGAGACTCTAAAAAAAAAAAAAAAAAAGTGCTTCAACTTAGGGTGCCTATAATGTGCTATACATCATAGTTAGGAGCTGCAGATGGTTGTCCCACTTAATCCACACAGTCACCTAATGAGGTACAGGTACTCATATTATTCATCTTCCTACTTTGCAGAATGGGAGCCTGAAGCAGGGGATTACACATGTTCAAGATACCACAGGTGGAACCTCCTGGGTAAATTCAGATTTGTCTGCTATCAAAGTCACTCACCTCTTACTCTTCACAGCTCACTCACTGTGTTAGACAAAGTAGGTGCTCAACCCTGAGGGATGGATGGAATGACCAACTACATAATCTCCTTTGATCATCAAAGTCACCCTTGGGGTCTACAAAGAATTACAATTTCCCTTTCCTAAATGATGAGAATGGAGTTTGAGGGATTCAAAGGGTCACCTAGCAGTAGGTGGCCATCCTGGGCTAGAACCCAGATCTTCTGGCTCCTTGTTTAGGGTGTTTTTCTCTACAGAATAACTATTGTTAGGCACTGAGAGGTAAGTATAGGTGGGATTATGAAGGAAACCTGTGCAGAAAAGTTATCACAGCAGGCCTGAGACTGCTATCCCTAGAAAAATCTGCTTGTAAGGATGGCCTTGGCTGGCATCTGAGCATGAGGATTTCAGGAAGGTTCCCACCACAACAGCTGATAGTGACTCAATGTGCCTAAACTGTGCAAACAATGGAATGTATACTGAACACCTATTTTTTTCTTCTAAAAGTCTGGACTTTTGGTATGTGCTAGACAGAAGTGCCTACATGATCTGTCACCAATAAAACTTAATCTCTAATGGACTTGCCTGGCAGATAACACTTCACACTTGTCACAATTCACTGCTCGAAAAACTAAGTACATTCTATGAGATTCCCACTGGGGAGTCCTTTGTGGAGTCCCTTCCACTACTCTTGGAAGCTTGCAACTGATTTCCCCTGGACTTTGCCCCGCGCACTTTTCCCTTTGCTGATTTTGCTTTGTATCCCAGCTCTCTTCTTGGTCACTTGCTGTGATAAATCATAGCTGTGAGTATGACTGTCTGCTGAATCCTATATGTCCTCCTAGCAAATCACCAAACCTGGGGATGGCCTTGAGGATTCCCAACACAGAAGCCTAACAAGAGATGAATTTTGTTTGTTTGTTTTGTTGTTTTGTTTTGTTTTGTTTTGAGTTGGAGTCTCACTCTGTCGCCCAGACTGGAGTGCAGTGGCTGCTCCCGGCCACCGCAGCCTCGACCTGCTGGGCTCCGGCGATCCTTCCGCCTCAGCCTTCTGAGTAGCTGGAATTACAGGTGTGCGCTACCACGCCCGGCTGATTTTTTGATTTATTGTAGAGATGAGGTCTCGCCTGCCCAGGCGGGTCTCGAACCCGCGGGCTCAGGCAATCCACTCACCTCAGCCTCCCAAAGGCGCTGGATTACAGGTTGAGCCACCGAGCCTGGCTAAGAGATGAATTTTGAAAAGGGTGACAGGGGTATGGGTTAGTAGATTAAAACAGGAGGCAATCGAGGCAGGCAACATTATGTGAGGAAAGGGAGAAACAGGCAAGTTAGGTGGAGAAGGCGTAACACTGTAACAAGGCTTCAACAGAGTTGATGATGAGAAAATCTAGCACTGCGGTGATGAGGTAGAAGAGATGGGACTAGAGAAGCCATTTGCTCAAAAGATACCGTGTAAGTGAAGTGAACCACTTAAAGTCCTACGTAGGGAACTGTTCATTTCAAGGAAGAATGGAAGGAATTTAATGTCTGCTAGACATCCCTGAAGAAGGTCTGGGAATGTGACTCAGAGCTTGAGGCAACATCCTCGATAATTGGTTTTTGAAATAAACTACCTGAACATAAGGAAATCAGTCTGCTCTAAAATAGTCTACTTCCTATTCAGTAAGGGCAACTATTCACTTCTTCCTTTACCTCTTTGTAACGCCTTTGCCAAAGTCCAGTGTTTCCTCCTAACTCTCTTATCCACCCCTTCTCAGTTCCCAGGAAGGTTTCCTGGCATAACCCCACCCGATTTTTTAATCACTTGTTTCATTCTGCATCTATTTAGCATGTAAACCTTTGCTTTAGGTTAAATTATTTTGCCTTTAACCCAGGAAGGCATGGGAAGTTGTCCTAGCTTGCATCACAGGTATTGAGCCAGCTGTCCCTTCAGAATCCTGACATCATGGAAGCAGAGAGAGACTTTCACGATTGCTCCTTAGCTCAGCCCCACCCACCTGCCTCTATCCTCCAGGGTCAAGGGCCTCATAGCGGAAACCCCAGAAGACAGCCTGGCTGTGCTAAGCCATCCGCCTCCGTGAGGGAGAACGGAAAGGGCTCTGGGTGGTGGCTTTGCATCAAGTTAACCTCATCCTGCTCTGACTTCACAGTTGGAGTCCACCAAAGTAACTGGCTTGCTCCGGGTGATACAGCCAGAGCCTGTATTTTGCCTCCCAAGTCCCTTTTCTTTCTTTCGCTGGATCCTTGCCAAGCACTATTCCAAAGCTGTAGCCTGTTATGCCCACAAGGCCTTCCAAGGACTAGAATCCTGCCCCTGAAACCTGAAACCTGGGGCACCAGCCTCTAAGTTACCCGCTCGCCTCTACTGACCAAGGATTCATCCCAGCTTATCCCCCCCATGCCCTGCCTCGTCCCAGCTCACCTACCCTGGCCCCTGAAGTCTAGAGATTGCAAAGTGGCAGCACTGGCTAGTTTAAATGATGGGCTAGGTACCCTAGCACATTGCAGTTTTTTTTTCTTGTTTGTTTTTAATTTAAATTTGAAAGTTTTTAGGCTAGACATGCATTTTCCACTTCCCCCAGAAACCCCACGGTGTTCTATTGCTATTAACCACATGGAAGAAGCGAACTAGTTTTACTGAATATCTGCCAGACACTAGTCTCTGTGTATATTCTGGCTCACTTAATCTTTACAGCACTCAAAATAGGTGACGTAGCTTACCAGTGGGAAAACAGACACTCTTGGAAGTTGAGCAATGTGCCCAGATTATATAACCACAACCAGCAAATAAACGCAGATTTGAACCCAGAACCCCAGATTAAGTCCACACAGTTTTCCACTATGCCGTTAGTAAAAGTAGTAGGTAGGTCTTGATTAGGTTGTGCTCTAAGGAGGCCCCTCTGCAGCCGCAGAAAAAGAAAATAGAATACAGATGGACTTGGGGCAGAGAAATAGTGAACCGATAGTTAAGGTTGTCCAGGAAAGGGTCCCCATGGCCCTGAACTGCGTTAGCAGATCAGGAATGGCTGCGGGAGATACGACATGGTGACTAAGGAACAACAGTGATCTCTGCGACAGTTGGGGAGAACAAAGAGGAAGAGGAGCCTTGAGACAAGTGTCTATAGGACTCACGAAACATCATGGTGAAGATTTTGAATATCACAAATCAAAGTGGCCAGGAAGAGAGCTGGGCAAGGGACAATGATCTGACCAACCTTTCCTTAAGAGTGCTGGCTTCATCCTTGAGAGTGGAAAGAGCTCTAGGGAGAGGGACTAGAAAGCTGGACTAAGCACCCAGCCTTGGCCCCACCAGCACCTGCAGGGCAGAGGAGGATGTGAAGGTTCGAGGAAGGGAACATGGAATGCTGGTGGGGACGGTGTGGCAGCCTCCAAGGAGGTGAGCAACAGCTGCAGTGTGGGCTGGACCAAGGATTGCCAGGCTTTGAGAAGCCTCGTAGGGCAATCTGGGCCGCATGGCAGGTGGGTGGTGCCAAGTGAGGAAGACAACACAAGTGCTGGCTACTCTTTCCAGAATTGCGTTAGTCAAAGAGAGAGAAGAAGGACTGGGAAAATGTGGAGTCTTCTTGTTTAATGGAAAACTGAGCTTGTGGGAGAGGAAAGGAGTCCGTGCCTCGGAGGGAGGAGGAGAGAGCAGACTTGGGAGTGCAGATGGAGAAAGTACTCTTGCCTTGGTCTGGAGGAAAGCACTTTCTCCTTGAGAGGAAAAGAAAAGCGGTGGGGAAAATTCCAGGGATATTCTGAATTGAGGAGGGAAGTCAATGGAGTCTACCATTTCAAGAAATGAGATACTGACTGGGATTTGCTGAAAGTGAGTGAGATGGTAACCCCTCCCCTATACACACCCGGGAAGGCACTGGCTGGGTTCTGTCACTTAACACTGTGTCTCCAGGACTTGCACGGCAGATGGATGCTGTACAGTGTACAGACCATTTGGATGTATATTGCTTTTGCCACAGCATGACTTAAGCATGCACCACCACCTGCCTCCAGATATCAATATGCAAAATGTGCTCATCATTGTCTCTGTAAATAGACTTTGAATTTCTCTGTCAGGACTAATGAGTATTTTCACTTTTATCTCCTTCCTGGTCCTCTGGCCCACTCTGGAGGCTATCTGTGTCAAGGCTGCAGTCTGATCCCTCAAATAAATCTTTCCTCTGGGGAAAGCAATAGACTCATGCTGACCTGACCCTGGCAGCGGGTGCCTGCCAGCCCTGGGGATTGCTTCTACCCTACAGCATGTTCCCCTCTGCCCCAACACACACCCTCATGTCCACCTCTGCTGGAGTGAGAGTTCCTGCCCAGTGGAACCCTAGAAAGTGCCACAACCTGGGCAGAAAAAGCTCTTAGGGGATGGGGCGTCTACTGCCCACAGCCTCTGCTGGTATATGAACTCAAAGACCCCTGATCAGTGACAAAGGCGTCAGGTAGCTTTTGATGAATGTTTTGCTGGTTCTTTCATTCCCCTCCTGCCCAGAATTCTGGCTTTCTTCCATCAAGATAATATGGGAAGAGCACAGGAACTGGAGTCAGAAGACTTGGGCTTGGGTCCTTCCCCATCCCTGCGTGCTGTGAGATCTTTCAAAACACTTTTGAGCCTCAGCTTGCAATCAGGTAAAGTGGAAGAAATACTACCTGCAACCCCCTTCTCTAGGGGAGATAGTGAGGAGTTAATCAGGTAAGACTGGTTATGTGTAAATTCTAGTGTTATTCCATTTCTGGGAGCTAAACAAGTCCTGCTGGGGCGCAACCTCTCTCTCCTAAGCCATACCCAGCATATGGTCTGGCAACCTAGAGCCCGAGGGAAACATACCCCAAATGAATTCAATGCAGTCAGCAAACATCTGATTAGGCCTACTCCATGCCAGGTTCCAGGATTCACACAAAAACAAGCACAGGTCTTGCTCCAAGTTTGCCTGGCTGGGCAGACCTAATAGAGTGTGTGTTTGCTCATGCAGTTGCTAGGACAGTCTCCAGCAGAACTTACTCCATGTTGCTGAGAACAGACTATACAGGTATTATTACATTCTAGGTCCTCTTGCTGACCCTTCAAATGAGAAGGTGGGCAGATTTGAGGCCTGGAGCGGGGGCTCCATGCCTTCAGTGCTTCTATCTCACTGTCTGGGAGATGTGGAGGATCATCCTGCTTTGGCCTGACTCATGAGGGTATGGAGCGGGACAAAATGAGAACAAAACAAGAGTAATGAGAAATGCTTTGAAAAGGAAGCAGCTTTACAAACAAGGAATTATTATTTTTTCTCCAAGGTCCTCTCCAGTAAAGCTGAAATCATCACAGCTTTGTCTAAGGACTGAGATGCCTTTCCCGTTGCTGGTCCAACAGGACAGACTCAGAGGCATCTAGCTCCCCACTCTGCAAGTCATCCCCACTGAAATGTCCCAGTTTCTACAGTCAGTACTCTCAGTGGACCTCATCTCTTTTCCATACTCTTCCCACTGCCCTATCACCCACGTCCAACATCAGATGATGCTTGCTGACAGAGGGAAACACTGCCATCCCACTCCCATTACCATAGAGAACCTGGGAGTCACCTTCTCCATCACTTCCCACCATCCAGATGCTGGCTCAGACAGATTTTCTCCTGCCCCAGTCCAGGACTCAGGGAGGGAGAGCCCAGGATCTGAGAACTGACCCATCCTATAAAGTTATTACAAAAACAGTAACAAAACAAAAAACCTTCATAGAAGCTAGGTGTTTTCCACTTCCATCTCACATCCATCTTTCCTGCAGCAATTTCTGTCTCTCTCATTCAGATTAGAGTTAGGTGCTTCTACACTGCTTTGTGGGAATGCAAACTAGTGCAACCTTTTTGGAAGACAGTGTGGCGATTTCTGAAAGAACTAGAAATTGACCTTCCATATGACCCAGCAATTCTCCTATTGGGAATATACCCGGAGGAACTC